AATGTATTTAATTAATTTTAAAATAGTTTTATGTGGTGGTGATAATGGTGTGCAAAGTCAAGATAATAATAACAAAACATTAAGAAAATTAATTGAATAAAACAAAATAGATTAGAATTTAAAAAAAAACAATTAGTTTAGAATTTAAACGTAATAAAATGGTGGGTGATAGATTATTTTATTTATTTTTATTTATTTATATTTATGTATGGTATTGTTTGGTTTTTTTTTTTTTAATAGATTTAAAACTTTTTTTAAATTAATTTACCATATATAATAATTATAACAATAGAAATGATGATTTTACTTTTTTTTTTTAATAATATTGTTGTCTTTATTTAATAATATAAATATTTAAAAATGTGGTGGTAGTGGATTAAATTATTTGTATTTATGTGTGACATGTTGGAAATTAATAATTGGTTTGAATAAAAAAATAAAAAAACACACATAATTTTTAATTAAAATTTTAAAAAAAAAAAATAAAAAAATAAAAAAGGAGGGGTATGGGATGATTATGATAAAAAAATAAATACAAATAAAAAAAAGGAATAAAAAAAAATGAAAAGCACTAATGGAAAGATTAAAATAAATATTACTTTATTACTTTTATTGCTTTTATAACTTGGATTTATTTATAGATTATTTTAGATTGGTTTTTTTTATTTTTTTATTATAAAATTTTATGGACTAATGTTTTAAAATAAAAAATAAAAAAAGTAAACTAAAATAAAGAAAATTTCTTGAGTGTGAATAAATATAAAATATAAAAAATGTAAAGATTAAATGAATTAAAAAATTGTAAAATAAATTAAATGATTTTTATTTAAAGAAATGAGGTAACAGGAAAATAAAAAAAAATTTTTAAAAAAATTAAAAATAATGATAATTAAAAAAATAAAATTAAATGAAATGAAAAAAAAAAAAAAGAACCTTTTAATAAATTATAGTTATAATCTAATTTATTTTTTCTACAGTAGAAGCCCTTTTTATTTAAATTAATTTCTCTTTATTTTTTTTTTTTATCTTTTTTTTATCTTTTTTTTTTTTTTTTTTTTTTTTTTCCCTTATTAAATAAAATAAAAAAAATTATTGTATTAATATTTATTTATTTTAAAAAACGATCTAGAATGGTGTAATTTAAAACATTTAAAATATCAAAATTTTATAAAAATAAAAAAAAAAAAAAAAAAAAAAGGTTTCTTTTTATACGATTATAAAAAAAGAATTTTAGGTTTACACAATATTTTAATAATAAAAATTATTTTAAAATAATTATTTTGAAATTTAATTTTATTTTTTTTTATTTTTTTTATTAATTTCTATTGTGGTGATAATGATGATTTAGTAAATATGATAACAATAATAACAACATCATGTGATGTTTGAGAGAATGAGGTTTACCAAAGAAAAAAAAAAAAAAAATTACACAATATTATTAATAGGGCAAAGAAGGTTTTTCGCGAGTTTACGTAGATTGGATGATATAATAGGTGTTATTGCCTTTCTTCAAAATTCTTACATTCCAATTCGAAATACTCTCACCATAATTTTTTAAAAAACCAAATTAACCGAAAACTAGTTTTTAAAATTTAAATTATTTTTTTTTTTCAATTTTATTTTCTGAAATCAATATGCAAACATTTATTTTATTTTAAAAAAAAAAAAAATTTCCAAAAAATAATATCATATGAGGCGTTCAATTGTTTGATAATAACAACATTCATTTGATTGGACACAAAGGGTGTCTGTGCTAGTGTAACTATGTCCCAAAAAGGAATACATTCATACTATAAATATATATATTTATATATTTTGAATTCAATATTTAATTTTGAAATGGGACATTGGTTTTTTTTTTTTTTATTTAATTAAATATTACAATAAATAATTTTAATATAAAAATTATTTTATTTATTTATTTATTTTTTTATTTATTTATTTTTTATTTTTATATATTTCTCAAAAAATAATAAACTTTAATTAAAACCTTCTAAGAATATTGTTTTATTTTTAAATATTATTATTTTTATTTTTATACACATCATTTTTATGTCACATGTTACCGTTTTGCTTTTTTAGAACCTTGGTTAATTTTAATTTTTATCATGTCTCAAAATGACGCCATTTTAAAAATGATTTTTAAATGTTGATAATCTGACTTTTTTTAATTTTTTTTTTATATTCAGTTTTTTATTTTTTTACATTTTATGGTATATTAAAAAAAAAAAAAAAAAAAAGACAAATAATAAAATAAAAAAAAATAGATATTTTTATCAGGAGAAGTTCCCTAAAATCACTTTATTATAAATATTAATTGTTTAAAAGTAAAATACTGCACACTAAAAAAAAAAAAATTAATCAATTTAATTAATTTTTTTTTTTTTGGCACCATTTATTGACTTATAATTTAAAATTTTAATATTATTACTCTTGACAATTTATAACTTTAACATTTGAGGGAATGATATGATTGTCAATTTTAAATTTATAATCTGGTGAAATTTGAATTAAACCAACAGTTGGAGGTATTGAGTTTTGAATTAAAGGATCAATATCACATATAATCAAACGTTCAATGCTATATGGGATATGTCCTGGTAAAATTGTGTGGTAAAACTGTATGTTTGAAAAAAAAAAAATTAATATAAAATTTTAATAAAAAATTTGTAATTTTGGTATTTAATGATGCATACTTTGTCAAGATAGAGTTGTTTACAACTATTTGGTATTGATCCTTCTACCAAACCATATTTAATATTATAGATAAAAACAGTTTCGACACTAGATGGAATTACCCCAGGTGTTATTAAATGAGGGAAACTATCGTGAAAATGAAGTTCTTTAACAGTTGAGGGTAAAGAGTTATTACATAAAGGGTGTTTGATGTCATAAAATCCAATGGTTTTAACATTTTTTAAAGTTTCTTTTTGAATTTTATGATTAAACCCATCAGCAAATTGAATAATTTCGACAGTTTCTGGGATAGAATGAATGTTTAAAGGTTCGGTAATGTTTCCTATTGATATGAGGTTAACTGATGATGGAATTATATTAGTTGCAATAATTGGATGATTGAAACCTTGGGTGAATGAAATTTCTTTTAATGTTGTGGGTAGTGAGTCTTCAGACAGAGGATATTTAACTTTACTGAGGGTTAGTCTTAATAGGGAGCTAGGTAAAACTTGTGGTTCAATTCTATGGGAATAGCCCTCAAAGAATGTCATTTCTACTACACTATCTGGAATAATGCCCTTTTCAATTGGGTATTTAGTGTTACCAATTAAAAGATTGGTAGTTGAGGGTGGGATCATGCCATGGACTATTGGGAATTGATAGTGATGAAGTGTAAGCTTTGTAATTGACTTTGGAATTGAATAGGCATCGATAGCATTTTTGATGTTGTATATGTTCAGGGAGCTTACGCTTGGTGGAATAAATTCTTGTGATATGTTTTGAGAAAATCCATCGAAAAGGTATAGACTTTTTATGGTGTTGGGTATACTTCCTCGTAGCAATACATGCTTTAAACCAGATATGAAAAGAGCATCGGTTTTTTCAGGAATAATGTTTGGAGAAACTGGATGGGGAAAACCATTGCTGAAAAATAGTGATTTGATAGTTGAGCTTGAGGAGTTTAATATATTATGAGCTGAAACAATGTCAATGTCAGCCGAAAGAGCCAAATGTTTGGTATCCATATGAATAGGTTCTCCATTTGTTAAATAAAATTCCCTGCAACCAATTGAAAATTTTTTATTCATCATTTTATGATGATGTGTGGTATTGTCTTGATAGCTTGATTGCTTTACAACAAAAGAGTTTAGTTTTAATTGCAATAGCTCTTTTATCTTTTCAAATGATTCTTGATTAAATGAAATTAAAAAATCTTTAAAAAATGTATTTGAGGTTGATGAGTTTTTTAATGGCGACCCATTACTGCTTATTATACTACAACCATTATTGCTGGCATTGGTGCATCTTGATCTATCAATTCTTTCATCAATTAAATTTCTAGTTGTTAGGGCATCTTTTAAAATTGAATAGTATTTAATAAATTTTTTATTATTTAAAATTTTGTTATTATTGCTATTATTATTATTGTCATCATTTTCATCACTGCTACTTTCATTATCATTATTATCATTATTATCATTATTACTTATATTGGATTTGTTATTTATTGATTCGTGAGCATCATCACTAAAATTAATATTACGTGGGTAATGATTAAAATTGTTTTTTATAATTTGTTTTGAGACTTGATCATCATGTTCTATTTGATTTTTTAGATTTTCATAAAATTCTTTATTTTTATTAAATTCTAAATCTATTTTGTTGTGTATTTCTTTTTGAGCCTGTTCTAATATTTGATATAGTTCTCTAAAGTTTTCATCAATATCTTCTTTATTCTTTTTATACTTTAGCTCTAAATCTTGAAAACAATGGTTTGTTGAATCCAATATTACTTTATCACTTTTTAAATAACCATTGAGTGTATAAATTTGATGGTTTTTAAAATCTCTAACAATTGATTTAATATTTGCTATTGATATTTCCGAAATTTCATGTGATTTATGAGTGCTAGTTAAACACTTTATACAAATTAAACAATAGCAATTTTTACAAATATATATAAATTCATTATTATGAATTGAACAATTATTGCTGTTGTTGTTCATTTTTATATTATATTATTTTTAATTTTTATTTCTATTATAGGTGTTTTTAGTATAGTTGATGTTATAGGTGTTTATAATGTTATGTTTATTATTAGTATATTTTTTTTATAACTTGGGACAAAAGAGGTTAAAAAAAAAATGGTGTGTTGAATTTGTTTTTTTTATAGGAAAAAAAAAAAAAAAAAAATAATTTAATTTAAAATTTTTTTAATTTTTTAAAAAATTTTTTTTTTCTTTAATTTTTTTTAATAAAATCCCAATTTTATCTTTTTTCTTTAAATTTAGTTTCAATAACAGATAGATAGCAATGAAAAATAAACCAGATAATAATAACGAGTCAAGACAAAAAATTGTTAGCATTTTAGAAGATATACCAAAAGAAATATCAAAAGATTGGGAAAAAATAACAACTCAAGCATTATTCAAAACTAAATATGATATATTCTTAAGAGACCAATTACCATTTTTTTTAGATATAATAACAGAATTAGAAAATAAATGGACCCTAAAAAAATATGAAGAAAATCCAGATGAATACATCCAATCATTCAAGGATAAGATGAATGATTTACCCCAAATAGTTATAGAAAAAGATAAAGTTCAAGATATTAAATCCACAGTAACTATCACTTAAAACATACTAAATGTTAATGTATTGATTTATTTACAAATTTGTTCAATAGTTTTATTTAGTTTATTATTTATCAAAATTTATTAGCCAAATAATAAAACCAATTGGCGAAATGGTTACTTTTTTAACTTTAACAGAGCCGAACTATGACGATAATAGTTTTTTAAAAATCGTATTAAATAATTTAATATGTAAAATGAACAGATCTTTCATTAGATTTTTGAATCACAACAGAAAAATGATTTTCTACCACGATAGGATCGTCCAGCCTCATAAAGTAAGTACATTTTTTTATAGATCATTTTTTTTTCTTGTAGAATTGTTTTCTAATCTAGTTATTTAATAATTCTATTTTTATAAAAGATTTTAAAATACCCATTGGTTGGAGAATTGGTAGTTTTACCAGGATTATATTTTTAAAACCCACTGTTGAAAATCCATTAAATGTTGGTTTCTACCCTTAAAATGGGATTTAATTTGTATGGCCAAATGATTTATATGTTAATCAACATAATTGGAGAAATGGTACAAGAAATTAATATAAAGGTTTTTTATTAAAAATAAAGATAATAATAATAATAATAATAATAATAATAATAATAATAATAATAATAATAATAATAATAATAATAATAATAATAATAATAATAATAATAATAATTTAAAATAATAAAATAATCATTTATTATAGAATAATAAAAAAATATATAAATAAAATAAAATTTTATGACAACATCGATGCCACGTTATTCTAAAGTTAGTTGAAGGAGAATCTCAAAGATACTAATTATTAATGGTAGTAATTTTTTATCTATTAGACAAAAAAAGGATTTTTTAAAGTAATGGCATAGTTTGATTCTATTTATTATTATATATATATCGTTTATTTAAAAGTTTTTTTTTATTTTATTTTTTTTTATCTATCCATTTTATTTTTTAATTTTTGCATTATCTATTTTTAAATTTTAAAAAAAAAAATTTTATTGGAAATTAATAAAACGGTAAAATTACAATTCACAATGATTTTAATTTTTTCCTATAATAGTATTAATAATTAATAAACATAAAATTAAATCTCTCAAGATTAAGCTATATATATATTTTTAACACATCACATTTGTATAACACGCCACTCCAACCAATAATTTCTAAATATAAACCCAAAAGAATGACAATATCAAGTAAAAATAATATACCTCCATATGGAAAGTATACAATAAAAATAAATAAAAAATTAGAAAACACAAATACCACTACTAATTCTCAAAGATATATAAAATATTGTATCAAACATACATATTTGGGTAAATAAATTAAAATAATATTTATTTAAATTATTATTTGTTAAATATACTATATACTAATACTTTTTTTTTAGTATCATTGACCCCAATAAAAAAACTAATATTTTAACCCCTCTCCCCACGAAAAAAGAAAAAAAAAAATTAAAAATTTAAAATATATCAGAAAATATGCAATATAGTAAAAATTTTATTTAAAATTATTATTATTTTTATTTTTATTTAAAGCCTTCAATCTATGGTAATCATTTAATTTTTTTTTTTTTATTGATTATTATGTTTTTTCTTTATAGACAATTAATTTTTTAATAGATTCATACCAAATAATAAATTTCATTTAATTCTTCCTTAGTTTACTTTATTTCCTTTTAGAAATAAGATTTTTAATTAATTTTCTTATAAAAAGTTTAAAAGTAAGGTGTGAATTAAATATTTTAATTATTTTAATTTGTAATATATAAAAAAAAAATAAAGTTGATGAAAAAAAAAAAAAAAAACATAAATAATAAAAAAATAAAAATATTTCAAATTCCAAATCATTTTAAATAAAATACAATAACAATAAAAATGATTAAAAAACCTAAAAATTATTTATTCATCCTTTTATTATCAATAGCAATATCACCAATTTTTGGTTTAGGTAAATAATATAATAAAAAACATTTTATAATTAGAATATTTTTTTACTAATCTATATTTTTAATTTATATAATAATAATAATAAATAACAATATAATAATTTAGATTGCGAAAGTTTAAATGATTCTCAATGTAAATCAAATAGTAGTTGCCACTATTTCCCTTTTGTATCATGCTGCGGTACTTCAAAGTTTTTTTGTGTAAATAAGCAACAAAGTTGTTCAAGTACAGAGTTAACTTGTGGTAAAAATACAAAGTCAGGGGAAATATTCGAATTTTGGACACAATGTAAACCAACAAAGGATTTTGTAGACTACCACCCACCAAACAATACATGTGGTTCTTTAGATTGCGAGTCTAGTGGTTTATTATGTAAATGGATCGAACCAAAATGCTATGGGTAAATATTATTAAAATTAACATAATAATTGGTTTTTATTAATATTTTTTTATTTATAGCACCAGTTGTTGTGGACGTTATCCAGCATGTGTCAATAAAGATGGTAGTGAAATTGATGTCTCAAACAATAATAATAAATATTACTACAATGATGCAGATAATCACGATAATAGTAAAAATAATCATAATAATGGTGAAACTCATAAGGATCATAAACATCACCCACATCATAAAAATCATCAGCATGACAAGGGTGACAACCACCCACATCATCACAAGAATCACCATACATACCATGATGATATTAAACCAAACGAAAAAACATTTGTTGAAGAAAACGAATCTTGTAAGTAAATAAATTTATATATTTACCATTATTTCCCGAATATACTTATTAATTATATTATTATTACAAGTTGATTGTGAAACTTTAAATAATGACCAAGAAAAATGCCAGTTTTTATATCCTAATTGTAAATGGCTAACATTCCAAGGTTGTTGCGGTAAACAAGTTTCAATTTGTGCAAATGATCTAACTAATCATTGTTATGATAATGATTTAAGTTGTGTTATAGAAGATGGAACAAATGATATTTATGAAGTATGGAGTATTTGCAAACCTCAAAAAGGTTTTAAAAAATATAATAGATCTAATGGTAACTATAAAATTTTTTTTTAAAATTTAATCTTTTTATTAATATAAATTTTTTTTTATATAGCCACAAGTTGTTCTGAATTAAATTGTGAAAGTAAAGGTATGACTTGTGATTGGGTACAATCTACAAAATGTATTGGAACATCTTGTTGCCAAAAATCACCACAATGTTTACCATTGCAAGGCAGTGATAATAACAATCACAATAATGATGAAAATGGTAGTAGAAACAGTAATAGCACTAACAGTGATTCTAATAGAAACAGCGGTTCTAATAGCAGTGGTGCCTCTAGTAGCAGTAGTGCAGCCAATAGTAATAATAGAAGCAACAGTAATAATAGTAGCAGCGGCAACATTAATAGCAATGGTAGCAAGAACAGCAGTAGCAGTAGTAATAGTAGCGACAGCATCAGTGGTAGTAACAGCAAAAACAGCAGTAGCAGCGATAACAGCAATAGCAGTGATAACAGCAAAGGCAACAGTAATAGTAGTGTTAGTAACAATAGAAGTCAAAGTAGCTCATCAGCCTCAAAATCCAGTTCATTGAAAGGATCATCCTCATCCTCTAGTGATAGTAATAATTCATCAGATTCTAAATCATCTAGCTCAGAATCAAAAGGTTCATCATCGTCATCATCTCCAGCCAAATCTGCCCCACCCTCACCACCAAGACCAGCATCATTTGCATCATTGCAAAATAATCAAGTTAATCAACTAAGAGATGAAGATGGCAATTTCGATGCTTTAAAGAATGATAATTTTGAAATGTTCGAGGAAGAAGATTTATGGAATGATATGGATTGGTACAGAAAACCAGATCAATTAAAAAATGTAGTTGACGAAGAAGAACAGTTCAAAATTACTCGTAAAGATAACTAATAAATTAAAATATTTAAAATTTAATATTTACTATTAAAAATATTTTTTAAAATGTAGAAAATAAAAATTAGTAAAGTTATAAATTTATTTATAAAATTATTTATAAAACAACAAAAAAAAAAAAAAAGGATCAGGCAATTTTGTTTTTTAATCTTAATAAAAGCAAAAAATATGTGCATTAAATAAATATATAATGAAATTAACGTAGATACCCTTTACTTGAATAAGAGTTCTCGCATCTTTGACTTCAAAAATGACATAATTTTATTATAACATTTAAGTTGCAACAAATTTTTTTTTTTGTATTCATAAGTATCTGTTAAAAATATCATCATTTTCTTTTTTTTATTTTATTTATTTGTTTTCAATAGATATTTAATCATACATACATTTATTGAATTGGAACCATAATTTCCTCAAGTTGCTTTGGTGTTAAATTTTATTCACAACACACAATTTTTTTAAATAAAATAAAGAAAAAAAAAAAAAAAAAAAAAAAATTTTCATTTATTTTTAAAAATTTTTAAAAAAAAATAATTTTTTTATTTTTTTAATTTAATATTTTTTTATTTTTATTTATTTTCATAAATCAAACTATTAAATAAAAAGATGAGCGGAAATCAATTTCAATTTATAGATTCACAATATTCAACACCACAGGGATCATACTATGACAATACAGGAAGAATGGGTGTAGGTGGCCCATCACAAGATTCATTTGAAAACGAATTACCACTGTTAGAAGAGTTGGGTATTAACTTTGACCACATTAGAGCAAAAACTCTCTCAGTATTAAATCCATTAAAAAAGATCGATTCACATATTATGGATGACACTGATTTGGGTGGTCCAATGTTTTTTGGTTTACTTTTAGGTTTTTCATTATTAATGGTAATGTTCAATAATATACAATTTATTAATAATAATAATAATAATAATAATAATAATAATAATAATAATAATAATAATTATAAAAATAATAAATATCTAATTTTTTAATTTTATTTAACAGAGTGGTAAAGTTCAATTTGGTTATATATATGGATTAGGTCTTATTGGATGTGTTTCAATGTATTTTGTTTTAAATTTAATGAGCGAAAAAGGTATCGATATTTATAGAGTTATTAGCGTTTTAGGTTATTGTCTTTTACCAATGATTTTCCTCTCATTTACTTCATTAGCCATTAATATAAAGTAGGTATTTCAAAAAATTTCTTTTAAAAACTATAATACTAATACCTTTCTTATAGTGGTTTAGTTGGATATATTTTAATTGGGGTTTCAATTATTTGGAGCACATATTCAGCATCAAAAATGTTTGTAAAGGTTTTATCAATGATTGACCAAAGAATTCTAGTTGCCTATCCAGTTGCCTTATTGTATACAGGTTTTGCACTTATTACAGCTTTTTAATATTTTAAATGGAAATAAAAAAATAGAAATGTATAAATAAATATAAAAAAAAAAAAACAAATACTTTTTAATTAATTATATTTAAATTATTCTTTATATTACAAAAAATAACATTTTACAATCATTATTTTATTGGATGTTTACATTAACAAAATTTAAATATATTTCACTTTTTTTTAATAGAATACAAATTTTCACAGATTAGATATTTTACAATAATAATAAAAATTAAAAGGGTTTTAATCAAAATACATCATAAAATAAAAACAGGAATTAATTTGATTGGAAATGAAAACCGAGGAAATAAAAAAACATAGTTTTTTTAATTATCTAATACCTTTTTTAATATTTTATTTAAAATACGGTATTTATAGTTTTTTTTATTTAATAAATTTTTTATTATTTTTTTTTTTACCATTTTTTCTATATATTTTTTATTATTTTCATTTTTTTTTATTTTTTATTTTTTTTATTTCAATTGTTTATTTTATATTTTGAAATGAATTTGTGTGATGTAATGTTTTACAATAGTTATTAATGGTTAAATTTTTGATACTTTAATAATTAAAAGAATTGTTTATTTGAAAACAAATAAATATATAAAGAATGAGATATTGATTAAAAAATAACTACCTTTATCTTTCCTAAAAAAAATTTAAAGAAATTATAAATTGATTTTTTTAAAGTGTAATGTTTTAATAGAGTAATAAAATTTTAGTAATATTTATTGTTATTTATACCCATTTTTGATTAAATTTCTTTGGGGGTAAAAAATATAAATATTTTTTTAGGTGGGTTAAGTTTCAGATGTATAAAATAAAAAAAAAAATAAAAAAAATAATAATATTTATACAATAATGGATTATAATATTAATAAAAATAACAAGGAAAATGGTTATTAAAAGAATTCGTTTGATTTATAACTTTTTTTAAACTATCTCTTTAACACAGATTTTTAAAATAAAATATTTTAAATTTATAATTGAAGAAACAAATACTTTTATTAAAAATATAACAATATCAAAAAATAAAAATGAAAAAAAAAAACTATAAATTAATTTTTTTTTTTTTTTCATTTTTATCAAATCATCAACCAATCAATAGTATAAAAAATAATTATAAAATGAAATTAATGCTTTTTTTAATAATATTAACTTTAACTAATAGTTTGCTAGTTAAAGGTTATGGAGAAACTGATAAAGATGGCTATCCAAATCATTTCGAACGTGAATCAATAAATCTTTTAAATGTAAAAATTTTATTTTTTTAAAAAATATAAACTATAATCATATTAATAATTTTATTTTAATTTTTAATTCATTTTAAAAATAATAGTATGTAAGAATGTTCCCAATTCAATATATGTATACCTTTATGAAAGAATATGGCAATTTAAACTATATGTTTACTCAATATAAACAAACCTTTCCAGTATACTATGATACCTCAGTTAGTCATGGGGCAAGATTCCATTCATATGATATGGCTTCTAAAAACTATTTTGCTCATAACGATAGATCTGGTTCTTTTGGTGATCGTGTAAAAAGATTTGTATCAAATATAAGATATTATGGTGAAAATATTGCAGCTGGTAAACAAACTGGTATTGAAACTAATAACCAATTAATTTGCGATTCAAGAAACCAAGATAGATACTGTTCAGCTGATGGTAGTGGTAATGATGGTCATCGTAAAAATATAATGGATCCACAATTTAAAGTAGCAGGTGTAGGTTACTACTATACATATTCATCTTCATATAAAAACTATTGGACCCAAGATTTTGCAGGCGAAACAAGTGGTATCCCAAATACCCCAATTTACTCTGGTTACCATACATTCTACCAATCAGAAAATCCAATTTTTATTTTAAGCTATTATAGTAACGATTTATCAACTAAAGAAATAAATATTGTATTTGTTGAGGATTCAAATGAAAATGTAGAAATAATGGATAGAAATTATGGAAACGATAATTTTGGAATTTACACTCATATTCCTTCTTTCTATACCCCATGTGGTAAATACTATTTCACAACAACTACAAACAATAATTCAACTTTTAGATACCCAGATACAGGATATTTACAAATTAGTAAAGATATAACATCATGTAACTCTTGGACTGCTAATTGATATTAAATTTACTTTTAAATTATTATATGTTTAAATATAAAACAAATTGTATTATAAATAAAAAAAAAGATATTTATTAAAAAAAAAAAAAAGATATTTATTTAAATTGTTGTTATATTTTTTAATTAAAGTTTATCTTTTCTCTTTTTTATAAGATCTTCCTCTATCTCTGTCACGGTCTCTATCTCTATCACGGTCCCTTTCCCTATGGGTATCTCTTTCGTAATAACGGTCTTCATCACCCTCGCCACTATATGATCTTCTTTTCTTTGATGAATCATGACCACCTGATTTCTTTGGTGATAAAATTAACTCTCCTTCTTCGTTACCTTCCTCTTCTTCTTGAGCTTTTTTTACCAAATACTCGATATATGAGTTAAAGATATTAAGACGATCAGGCTCTTCTAATTCGATAAATTCCTTTTTAGTCTCCAAAGTAGGTTTGACTTCATCCCATGTCGATGATTTTGAAATTGTTTTTGTATCTGATAAAAGTTGTTTAAAATGTGAAACTCTTTTCTTTGCTAAATTTTTTTCTTTAGTTTCCTCTTTATATTTTAACTATTTTAATAATTAGATTAGTATCTTTTCTTTTTATTTACTTTTATTTATATACATACATATTCAAGATATGGCAAAAAATTAAATTCAGAAATTTGCTTAAAATTTTGATGTTTAGAAAATGCTGTTTTTAATAATTCCACAGTTGTTTCTGGTGTATATTTAAACTCAGTTTCTTTATAAATCTCTTTTAATTTTTTATAATCATTTTCATATTTCGTTTCTAACTCTTCTCTAAAATCTGAAAATAATTCCAATGGTGTTGATCCAAGTGTTCTTTGACTTAAACCTATATAAGCTGGTTCATTTTCATATTTCTCTTTAAAATTCTTCCATTTTGTGAGTGCATGAATTTCACCGCCTAAATATTTTTCATTTAAAAATTCCTACAAATAAATAATTATTGCAACGATATGATTAATAATTTTGTTTTAGTTAAATTTATTATATTTATAATTACTTACTCTAAACATATCTCTATTTTTTCTACACTCTCTTTTGATTTTTTCTTTTTCTACTCTTTTTTGGTCATCTAAACGTTTTTCTAAGTCACGGATATAACTTTCAAATACTGTAAGAAAATCGAATTGATCTAAAATTTGAAAAATATCATCTTTTTCATACTGCTCTCTAACTTTACGCCATTGAGTAAAAACGGTGATTGATGAATCGGTTTCTAATTTTTGACGGAGTAATTTCATTTGGTCCTTTTTATTTATTAACAATTGTTCCTTCTCTTTTTTTTCTAATTCCATAATATACTCATGAAATATAGTTTCTCTTTCTCTTTCGACTTCAACAGCTTCCCAACGTGGCTCACCTTCAAAATATAGTGATGCTCTTCTCCATGACATTAACGGTGTTACCTCTTTGCTATCACGTAATAGTTGAATAAAATCATCTTTAATTTTTCTTTCCTTCTTTCTTTTTTCTTCTTGTTCAAATTTCTTTCTATCGATTTGATAATCTAAAAATGCTTGCTTTCTTTCACTCATCGTCTTTAATGATTGATATCTTTCGTCGTTTACAATTTGCTTTAGTGCTTTTTCGAATGTACATATTGAACTAATTGAATTATCAGTTAATAAATTTTTAAATATTTGAATTGGATCTTCTTTAGGTTGAATATTTTCAGTTACTTTATTTGATGTTGGTGAGGTACTATTATTGTTGCTGTTACCATTAGGATTATTAGGAGTATTGTTTATTGGTGATGATGGTATTGGTTTTGATTGTTGTAAATTTTGAAGCTCAGCAGGAATATCCCATTGTCTAACACCTGTTACTGTATTATAATAATATTTTTGGCCTTTTTCAGTCTTATATTCTTTCCAATCTGAATTTTCAATTGTTGAGTTATTTGATGGTGGTTTAAAATCGTCAGGAATTTCCCAAACACTGATTCTGGTTGCCTTATGATAAAAAAACTTTTTCCCATCTGCTGAAACTGCTTCTTGCCAATCATTGATCGATGCAGTCGACATTGTAAAATTTATTATTTATTATAATTATTATACTAACTATTATTAATAAATAAAAAATATACAATGATTAAATTTGATTTTTTAAATATTTGAAAAAATAAAAAATAAAAAATTTTTAAAAAAATTTTTATTTTTAAATTAATTTTTTTAAAAAAAAAAAAAAAAATATTTAAAAAAAAAGTACAATTATTCTATTTGAAGTTATTAATTTATTTAATAAAATAAAATTTTGGTTGTGGCGGGGAGAAAATAAAAATAAACATTTTATAAAACCAAATAAAGAGAAAAATAATAATTAAAATAATATTTTATTGGTATTTAAAAATATATGAATTTTATTTATATATGTATATATAGTAGTGTAATAACCAAATCCTATTATTTTTTATTTCTTATAATTAAAAATTATAATTTAAATTATAAAATAAAAAATATTTGAAAAATATTAAAAATTAAAAAATTAAAAAAATATTTTTTTTTATTCTTTTTTTTTTTATTTTTTATTTTTTTCATTTTTATATTTCAAACTATTTTTAACAACAATTAAAAAAAAGTTAATAGAAGAAAAAAAAGTGTTGTAAATAATCTTTGTTTTTTTTTTTTCTTCAATGTGTAAATAAAACTTTTACTTTTTTTTTAAATATATATATTTATGTCATCTACAGATACACCAAAAATAAATGAAACAAAAGATGATAAAACGAATACGGCGATAACACCACAATCGAAAATACCCACATTACCCACACCAGACCATAATACAAATTTTAAAGCCCAAACAATACAACCTTCAAATACAATACCACCTTCAAATACAATACCACCACAACCATATCATGTATCGACAAATATACCTACATATAATGCGAATCCACCAACCAAAAGACCACTAGAGCAAACACCAAATACTATAAATAGTAATAATAATAATAATAATAATAGCGGTAGTAATAAAAAATTTAAAAAAAGAAAACCTGGGCCATTATCAATTGCAGAAGAAGATTTCATAGCAAATGCATTCAGAAATGTTCCTGACCCACAATTAAGTGCAGAGCTAAGGCGTATGAAAAGAAAATTTATTGTTAGAAAGCAGCAGAGATACTGTTCAATTGAAAATTTTGATATAGATACCAGAACACAAGAAGTTTTAACAGCCTTTAAGAAAAAGAATCAAAAAGTGTCAAATTATTATGAAAAAGAAGAAATACCTCCATTTCCAAATTTAAAACACAATTTAATGACTGCTGTAACGATATCAGGATCCCCTACTACCACCAATACCACTGCAACCAATGTAAATAATATCAATTTTCAACCAGAGCTAAAAGAGGAGCACGAACAAGAGAAACTACAGAAAGAAAGAGAGTTACTATTGCAAAAGGAACAAAAAGAAAAAGAAGAAAAAGAACGTTTAGAAAAAGAAAGATTAGAGAAGGAAAGAGAACAAAAGGAAAAAGAAAAAAAGAAAAAGGAAAGAAAAGAAAGAAAGGAACGTGAAAGATTGGAGAAAGAACGTCTAGAAAAAGAAAGAGAACAAAAAGAAAAAGAAGAGAAAGAAAAGAAACGAAAAGAAAGAAAAGAAAAAAGAGAAAAAGAGAAATTAGAAAAAGATGCAATCGAAAAAGAGAGGTTAGAAAAAGAAAAGCTGGAGCAAGAGAGGCTAGAAAAAGAAAAACTGGAGCAAGAGAGGCTGGACCGAGAGCGTTTAGAAAAGGAAGCATTGGACCGAGAGAGGCTTGAAAGAGAGAAACTAGAAAAAGAAAACTTTGAAAGGCTTGAACGAGAAAGGCTTGACCGAGAAAGAAAAGAAAAAGAAAGAAAATTCAAATTGAGACAAGAAAGAATAAGACTCGAAAAACTAAAACAAGAAAAGCTTGAAAAAGAAAAAGAAATTTTAGAAAAATTAAAACAGGAATCAAATCCACAGACAGCACTATTTAAATTTTATCACTGGGCAAAAAGTTCAAGGAAACAACAACAGCACCACTTTAAAAAGCCATTCCAACCTTTATCCGAACTGCTATATGGAAAAAGACTGCAATTGGAACCATATGTAAGTCCACATACAACAAGAGAGCTCAAACCATACATTAGAAGAGATTATGAAACCAATCCACCAAAGCTACAGCAACTAAGAGAACTCCACCAATTTTTTAAAATTAATGGTTTAGCACCAGTTCAAACCTCACCAACAATTACATCTTTAGCAGAGTGTCAAGAAATTTACCCAATTGATTATAAATATTTAACACCTGAACTAGCAAATAGAACTAATCAATTTTTATCTGATCATTTTTGGCCTGGAGTTAATGGTAATTATATTTTTTTTTTTTTGTTATTACTTTTTTTTTACCAATTTTTATTTTATTTTCTTTTTTATTTCTTTAACCTCCAACTCACATGCACAAAATAACTCCCATTATATTATTTTATAAATCTTTATTTTTATAATAATAAATCTAAATTTTTTTTTTATAAATCTATTTTTTCAATTTACAAAAAAATTATTCAAATAATCAAATAATCAAAAAAAAAAAATTCAACTTACACACTATTCACCACATCAA